CGGTCAACCTGTTTAGGATGAGGGTCAGTGACAAACACACATATAGAAGAAATATGCATCGATTGCAGCGCCACCTGCTGGGTCCTATTGTGAATCTAAACCCTCAGGGACACACTCAAACACACACAAAGATTTCATCAGAATCCGGTCAAGTCGTTTAGGAGGAATTCAGTGACAAACACATGTACAGAAGAACCATATATATATATATAAAGATATGTCGATTGCAGTGCTCCCTATCTGGTCCAATTATGAATTTATAAAATCAAAAGAGACCCACTCAAATACGGTCACAGAAGGTCATCAAAATCGGTCCAACTGATTAGGACAAACGTACAGAAGAATCTGTGACGAACATACGTACAGAAGAATCTGTGACGAACATACGTACAGAAGAATTACATATATATATATATAAATAAATATCTTTAAATACTTAAAATAAAAACCGTTTTAATGATTTTTATTGTACGAATTTAATAACAGAACATAAGAATTTCGCCAGATATCGAAAATTTTGTTAATTTGAAAACAGCAAAACTTAAAAATATCAAAAATGTCCTCTTTAGAATTAGATGAGGTCAATTATTACGCTATTCTATCCATCAATTCAATATCAAGGGGTATGTTATATCATCAGCAAGCCAATTACTCTATTCACATAACCTTTGATTGTTCGAGGTAATGCTGAAATAGAAGCGCTAGTGATTGCCTGCCATCTATTAGATGTTGGGGCACTCGATATGACTGTCTCTTGTCAACACGGTTTGAGTGGTTGCATAGATTGTTTAAATTGCATGGTTAAACACGAATATACCATCTATTTTAAAATCGTGTTCAAATGAAATTAATTTATTTTAGGTGTATTATTGGTTATTTTTTATTATTTTCTGTTTTGAAATGTATTTTATTGCTTTAAATATTATTTTTTGTTATTTCATTTTTAATATTTTGTTGGGTAGTCTTTGATTAAAAATATATGTTAATCACTTTCAAACCCAAAATAATTATTTTTTATTTTTATTTTTTAATAACTTTATATTTTTTCAATTCCTTATATTAGCTCACACTCTCCTATATATATCTTGTTAAAATTTTCAATCGTTCATAACATACTTTTTATTCATCCACTCAAGTTTCAAATACATTTTTTGAACTTGTAGTGGATACACTTGATGTTAATACAGGTTTTCAAATATTAATTCAGTAATTAAATTTAATTAATTAATTTTATTTTTTTTAGATTTAAGTTGCATATATCTACCAATAGATGGCGCCAGATAAATTTAAAAAAAAAAAAAATGAATGAAAATTATTTATAAAGGACTTTCTGCAATAGAGTGAAAAAAAGTAGGAATTGACTTTAAAATTTTTTTATATTACTTGTTTAAGATAAATTTATATAATCAAATATTAACTAATTGTATTTTTTATGAAGAGAAAACAGTCTATCATTTACTTACAAGAAAGTAAATGCAAATACCTAAATAAATACGTAATAAATACATTATAAAAATTAAAATACAAAAGTCTTTCGTTATTATACTAAAATTCTTTCATAAGATGAAAATTAAAACCGTAACCATGCTTCATCCTACACAATGCCAAGAGCGACACCATTGTGTTCTGGAGAAATGGCCAGTCGGCCTCTAAACTCTCATTTAAGAGAAAGTACAGCGCAACCTATGCTCCCGCTTAGAAACGTTTAGTTTAGAGTCTCTCATCCCGAGAGGGAATATATTTTGCGCTACTTTGACGCATTAGTTGGATTACAGTCTCTCACCCAGATATGAAGTGTAGTTTGGGTACACAGCACCATCGAGTTTCGAGTTTTCAGCTAAGAAGTAGAATCCACCCGCGAATATATAATTATATATCTTTAAAGTGTTAAATAGTCTATGTCTCTAATTGTAAGTATGTGGTGCTTGCCTGTGTGTAACCAAATCTGTGTGTTCTCTAACCATTGCTTCAAGCATCTCAACCCAAACACACCCTTATGCCCAACCGGTCACTACAAAAGCTTAATAAATATTAAATGAAAGTGCTCTTAAACTAGAGAGGAAAACTTAAATTAGCTTCATAAAGTGTAATCCAAAGCAAATTTTAAATTGCTTAATTGTTCTTAGCATGAAATAAACGTGGCCAAGCGAAACTTTAAACTTTATTTCAACCCTTTAGTAATAGTAGTGATATATTCAAAAGTAGTGATATATAATTATAGGAAATCTGTGATGAAAAAAAGGCACGAATCATTTTAATACAGCTGTTTATTCTATTAGTTTCTTTCTTTAAAAAGAAAAAGTTTTCAAATAATACTATTTTTTAAATTTTTTTTTTTCAATAAAGAAAGAGGATGATTTTAAAATCATTTTTTTTTTGCAGAGTAGTGAGAATTTCAAAAACCAAATGAAAAAAATATAGGTAAATTTGACACCCTATTTGAAAACATTATTTGATTTCTTCAGAATAAAATCTACTGTAACTCTTTATGCAACATTTGATGGATGATATTTTAAGCCTAAATATTTATTTGTGATTTTTTTAAATGTAATTTGAGGTTTTTAATATTGATTTGTATCCCTATGTATGCTATCAGAAAATACTGAGTCGTTTTATTAAAGGAAACTTTAAATTATTTCGAATTCTATAATAAAATGCTCTTGAATATAAAAACGTAATCTATCTATATGGGTATTCAGTTAGGATCTATGATGCCAGTAGTTCTTTTTGTAGAAATATTTCAGGAACATATCCAACTTCAACAAAATGATTCATTTCATCAAATATTCAGTGTATTTCATAATATAATTCGAATTTTTAAAAAAACATTTTTTACTAATATTTCATAGAATTAGATTCCATACTTTTAACTTCGTTAAATTAATCTAATTGATTTTCATTAAAATTTCACAGAATAAAAATTATTCAGAAAAGTTTTATTAAACTCAAAATATTTTTTTCTCTTTAAATATATAGTCTATTTTCTGACCTCCAGTTTTGTCTGATCTCATTATCAGACAAAACTATAGATCAAGTCTAGAAGTCAAATCTATAGATCAAGTCTAGAAGTCAAATCTAGAGATCAAGACTAGAATTCAAATCTAGAGATCAAGACTAGAAGCCAAATTTAGAGATCTAGAGGTTTTTGTTCTGTGCAGTTTTCTTGAAAATTAATTTGATTAATTTAAAGAAGCTAAAAGTATCGAATAGAGATCGTTTTGTGATGCGATGATTTTTTTTATAAGGTCTTGAAACTTGAGACATTTCTTCGGGCTGCGACCGTAGATCTACCTCCCCGTGGTGCCCCCTGGTAATGTCTTGGGGGGGGGGGCAAAGGATCTACTAATCGGCGTGCAGCAACTTTCTAAGAGTGATCACCTTCGTGGAGCGTCGTGTACAACTGTATGCAGGTGGCTTGTCCCAATCTAAGTAAGTGAAGATTCAAAATCCCTTTGCCAGCTACGATGTTGCGACTTGGGGTGGGCTATGACTGTTTGGTGAGCCATCTGCACCACAATGGCATTTTTGATAGCCCAAATTGCCCCTTCTGTGGGAAAGACTAGATCCCGAAATGGCACCACAGAGCAAGATGCCCGGACTTGCGTGCGGATTCCGAGTTGAAAAGATATTGGAGTGCTACAACTTTGCTGATGAGACATTGACTTTTTTCTCTTATTGCTTTCTGTTTTCTTTTGTGTGCTTTGCCCCGTTTTGTCATCTTAAAAGTTTGTTATTTTTTTGTTACTAGAAATAAAAAAAGACATGAAGCTAATGTAGTTTCCAACATTTATGCTTAAATGTATGATTTGATTGCTGAAACGTATCAATTGTTTGCTCATGTACTGAAATTATTGAGGGTAGAGCGGTTTGTATAAACACGAATTTTCTCATACGCAAACATATTGTACATAATCCGGTTTTTACTTCATACAAAAAAATAAAATAACATCATGGGATATGCACTTTATATACATTTTTTTAGATGTCTTGAATTTTTTTTTAGAGTTATTTTATTTAATTTATCATTTACAAGTTTTGTGATATATCTTTTGTTCTAATGCAGCTGGTAAACACTTAGACAGCTGTATTTGATGTCTTAAGGCAAGCGCTGCACCGACGTTACTCACTAGCACTACCCAGAAGGTGCGTGTAGCTTAAAAAAGCTACCTGAGCAAAGCTCTACGATTATGTTAGACCGGGACCTACGGTCTAAAGTTGATTCCCAGCTACTATAAAAATCAAGTCAGCGCCGGGACTCGAACCCGCAACACCGAGTTCCAGAGCACTAGTCACTCGGCTATTCAGGTCCCTTTGAAGAGCATTTTTTGATTGCATGTTTTTTTAACATAAAAAAATATTTCAGATAAAAATACCCCTTTCAGACTGCATCAGACATAAAATAACTGTAAAGACACCCACTCTAGACATAAAATCAAATATTTTTAACGAGATGTATATATTATAAGATAATCTACCAAATAAGTACCTAAATTTAATGCAAACAACTTGTTTGATCATAAGCTTCGTAAATCATACCAATACGTGTTCAAATATTTTCAAAAACATTGTAAAACAAGTCTTTGGCAGAATGATGAATAGATCCAGAGGATTAACAACTGATAAAAGATACTTTCAATGAGCCCTACATCACCATTAATTACTATGTGGGAACTTAACGAAAGCTTTTTAGAAAGTTTACAAGTGTATATTAAATTTCAAAGTTCTTGCTTGTTAAACACCACCGATGAAATATTTTAATGTAAAACATTATCTTTAATGCCCAAGATTGGATACATTATACAATATATATTCATATTCTTTGCTTAATATAATATAAGTATTCATTTAACAAAGGTTTGAATTTTTATATTTTTATAAACAGTACCAATGAAGTATGTTAATCTGAAACAGTAATGGCCAACATTGATCGTGCGAGCCACTTTGGAAATTCTCGTGGGCCCTTATTTACATATCCCCATATTAGATTTAGATCTGAGCCAACGGCCATACCATACTGAATATACCGGTTCTCGATTTAGATCACCAAAGTCAAGCATCGGGGGCAGTCAGTACTTGGGTGGGTGACCACCAGGGAACACGGCGTGCCGTTGGCATTCACAAATTTGGGACCTGAATGGCCAGTGTTTAGCGTTCTGGCGCTCGGTGTCACAGGACGGGTTCGAATCCCGGCGGTGCCATGGATGTTTGTAGTGGTTCAGAATCCACTTTAAGCCGTAGGTCCCGGTCTCCTATGACTGTAAGAGTGTCACGGAGCCAAAGTCAGACTTCTACCTACGGGTGCTCCATCACAGGAAGGAAGCAGTGTGCTCCATAACACTGCTTCCTTCCCCTTCAATCATGAGTACGTATGGGCTCGTGGGCTTGGCCAGCCAAGTGGGATAAGAAACAAAAGATTTAGATCCACTGCAGACATATTTTGCAGTGAAAATTTATACATAATGAGTTATTACTATTGTGTTTATTATTGTTCTTTCATATAAATATAGATAATATCATGATAATGATACTAAACTCACATTGTAAAAAAATACTTATGTAACACTAAAAATGAAATAAAAAAATATATAAATATAAACGAAATAAAAAAAAATAATTTCATTAAAAATATGTATTTTACTAGTGCGATATTAGGGCCTGAGTTGCCGAGTGGATAGCACTCTGGCGCTCGGTACTACAGGTTTCAGGTTCGAGTCCCGGCGGGGCCATTGATGTTTGTAGTGGTTCAGAATCCACTTTAAGCCGTAGGTACCGGTCCTAATAGGATCGTAGAGCGTTGCGGGGACATTGTTACTCCGCATCCGTATCTTCAAGTTACACGCGCCCCTGGGTAATGCAAAGTGAGTAACGTCTGCGCAGCGCTTGCCTTAACGCATCCAAGACCAAGCTGTCTAAGTGTTTGCCAGCTGCATTGGAACAAAACAAAAAAAAAAAAACTAGTGCGATATTTGTTTCTCCATTCTTTCACTTAGTTTTTGCAAATCAGTCTCAATTTTAGCATTTGAACAATGTAATGGGTATTCCAGGATAGTTGTCCGTCATGTTTGAACGTGTTTTGTGTTTGTTTAATTTCCTTTTAGAAAAAAAAAGATTCGCAGGTTTAAATTGAACCAAAAACGCTAGCAACTTGGACTAAGGGTCTGGTTTTCTCTGCTTTCAACAATCAATTGTGAGTATCTAGGGATGGTCACTGCGTCACTTAAGTCACTTGAAGTGAAATGTAAAACTTATTATATTAGATGTTCCAAAATGCTCGAGCATCGTGAGTTCGCAGAATATACTTAATTATTTTGCGAAATCATAACTGTAAACTCATCAATCAAACAGGCAATATATGTCATATATTCGCAAGAATATTATTTTCAAATCAAAGTTAATTAATTTCTCTTTGATTTTGACAATCAATTTTTGAATATATGGACCCACACATAATACATTTTTTCAATACATTTTCACTACTTTGTCCATTATAAAATAAATATATTTTGTAAAAATGGGATAAATCTCACGGCCGGAAAATATTCAAGGTTGGTCACTCCTGATATAAAACATTTTATTTAATGCCCTAGATAGGATATAATATACAGTATCTATTCATTTCCTTGTTAATATTGTAAAATAAAAATCCATTTATCCATCATGTTTAAAACTTTTATATTTAGTTTTTAAATTTAAAAAAAAAAAACTTCAAAAAATTGCATTTTCTGTTATATTTTTAAAAAAAATGCTCATAAGTTAGATTTTCAAAATATATTTCTTATATAGGAACCATAATTTTGAAATATGGTTCATACGTTGATAATTTTGCGTTGAAACTTACTGTCAATAAATAGAATTGCTTACCATAGAAACTGCAGTTTACCTACCTTTCTGCATCACCTATTCCCCATAGTGGAAAGAAATGCTTAATATGGGCAGTTTATAGTAACCATGGATACCAGTGCTCAACATATATATTTTAGCGTGCGATATATTTTGTTTAGTCATTTTATAGTCTAGACGCCATTTTTTAAGGAAGAAAACTTTAAGGAAATGTAAAAAGAGACAAACTGACTGTAATGTTACACACAAAAATAGAAATGTTTTAAATAAAAAATACTTCTTTATATATTCCGTTGCTGACTAACATTTCCGCTTTCTAAGCATTTCAGAGAATTTCTATATTCATGCAATACTATATAAGATTATTTCATTTTAAGAAATGTTAATGTTAAGGAATTTGATAAATTTGTTATTAAATATGAAAATATTTAATTTCGAATTAATAAACATAATTTGAAATTTTACTAATTTTTTTTCAATTGCAAGGAATAAATAAGTAAAGGTTTTGACAATTAAAACATTATAAAAAATATTGATAGCGAAACAAAAATTTAAAATAAAAGACAAATTTTTTTTTTTAATATGTAAATAATTTACAATAATTAAAACAATATAATATAAATAGGAACATGAAAATTTAAATACCTTTAAATTTTCACGGTTCTGTCGCTGACTAACAATTCATTTTCTAAGCCTTATAGTTTCATGTTAGAAAATACCAATGTTTATGTTTTATATTAAGGAATGTTAATGTTAAGGAATTTGATACTATTGTTATTAGATTTGTATATATTATCATGTGTGAACATGCTGTTGTCCTGGTTGGAGGTTCGTCGCGCAATCCAAAAAATTGCAGCAAGCAAGTAAAGTGATATTCAAAATTTGCAAATTTTGGCAGAAAAATGGTAGTTCGGGCCCCTTAACTCTTGAAATGATTCATAAAATAATGTTAATCCTCAGGACTTTTCTGAGAATTTATTTTTGCTTGAAGTGTTTTATAGTATGGCTTGAAGCACTTTTTCACGTTTTGGCTTGGGATTTTAAACATTTGTATATACAATGGCTATAAGTACTGTAGTGCGTTGACCAATTCCTTTCCTTTTGAAGTTTCATATTTATCCCTTTTGGCCTATTGAGCTGTATATAGTGCTTCTTATTGCATTTGGAATACTTCATTCTTCATTTATGTCTAGAATTTTCAAACTTTGATATATTCTCTTGGCTATTGAATGTATAGTGATTCTTGTAAAATTTGGAATATTTCATTCTTCATTTATACCCAAAATATTCAAACTTTGATACACTATTTTGGGTATTGTATTCGATAATGTTTCTTGTAGAGTTTGGAATACTTTATTCTTCATTTACGACTAATATTTTCAAAACTTTGATACAAATCATTTGGCTATTGAATGTGCTGACGTTTCTTGTAGAATTTGGAAAACTTTATTCTTAATTTGCGGACGACATTCATCTTACTTTTTGTATATTCTTTTAGAGATTCTTGAACAATTCATTCTTCTTGAAGTTCTTCATCTATTCAACATTGCTATTCATATGGCTATTTGAATTTGGCCATTCTTGTAGTATTCCAATCAATTGCTTCATATATCTCATGCATTATTAAATATTTTCATATTCTGAGTTTATTGATCCTTTCTCCAATGTTCACACATGATAAGCTTGAAATTGCCGAGCAGATTTCAGTTTCTGTATCATTAATTTTGAATAAATTTATACAATTTGAAAAATTCTAATTTTTTTCATTTGCAACTAAAAAAATAAAAAAAAATTTACAGCTAAATTAGTATAAGAAAATTTTATTAGCAAAGTAGAAATTTTAAATGAAATATATAAAATGTTAACTACTTTTAAATTTTCACTGTTCTATTGTTGAATAACAATTCCTTTTCTAAATTTTAGTTTCATTCAATTCCGTCTATTACCCTCGCACCTCCCTATATATATCTTGTTCAAATTTTCAATCGTTAATAAAATACTTTTTATTTTTCCACCTCAAGTTCAAATACATTTTTTGAACTTGTAGTGGATGACACTTGATGGTAATATAGTTTTTTCTAAATATTAATTCAGTAATTGAATTTAATTAATTAATTTTAGTTTTTTTTAGATTTAAGTTGTATGTATCTACTAATAGATGGCGCCAACTTTATTTATAAATGACTTTCTGCAATATAGTGAAGAACAAATGGAAAGTGACTTAAAAAAAATTTATATTACTTGTTGTAGAGGAATTCAATAATATATAGCAATGTTTCATGTTAAAGAATGTTAATGTTAAATAATGTTAATGATGTTGCTTATTTTGTTATTAAATTTGAAAAATGTTTAGTTTTTGCATAAATTGATACAATTTTGAAAATTTCCTAATTTTTCTTTTTCAATTCAGGGGATAAATAAATATAAATTATACCAATTAAAGTAGTATAAAAACTTTTAATAGCAAAGTAAAAATTTTAAATAAAATACATAAAATATTACATACCTTTCAATTTTCATGGTTCTATTGCTGACTAACAATTCATTTTCTACGCAATTTAGTTTTTATCTTAGAAAATTTCAGTACTATATAGCAATGTTATGTTTCATGTTAAGGAATTATGACTGTTAACCTAATTATGACATCCTCAATATAGCTCTATCCATAAAAGAGTATTCTCAAATTTATCCGATTCATATTATTTCTACTCGTTCCTCTAAGTCCTTAATTTTTTAGGTACAAAATTATCTTTATTACTTTTAAGGACAAATAAATATATGTAAAAGAGTTTTAAAAAATGAAGAAAGAATTTATTTTTTAAGGAATATTTTCAGTTTATTTTAATAAAGTTTCTAAAACGGAAGGGTAAAATTTAAAAATTTAAAACAAAGAAAAATTTATTTCAATAAAAGTACATAATAAAATAAATTTTTCATTATTTTGCACTATTAATTTAAATTTCAAATGAAATAATTTTAAAAATAAATTATTACAGTCGACCAGATTTTTAATTTTATAATTTCACATTGCACTTAGTACAAAAACCGGCTGGCTAATTCAACATAAAATTGCATTTTTCCAATCCATTATTTCCGTCCTTTAATTAAGTTGACTGTGATATTGTATTCCTTTGATCGTTTTTTAACTCACTTCTCGTCATTGTGAATAGAATTTTCTTTTACTTGAGTCTTTCATTGATTATCTGCTTAATTTAACATCGAAAAAGATTACATTAAACTCAATTCTAGAAATGTTAAACAACTTAAGAA